ATATATATCAGTGAATATACGTATATATTTAATACGGATGGGTTTTACTGTTCACTACCTGCAATTAGAGGTTACTGATCATGACAGCATTAATAACTATCGAGGAAATGGTGGTTATATTAATATGACAATTAAAAGTGTCGAATTAATATTGTCCCGGTTTTCAGAACCAATCACTAAAAAAAAGGACACGGCATCCAACCACATATCGGTGTGAAAGTTTTTGCAACGAAGCAGCCGCGCAGGCAGAAGCCTAAATGCTAGGGCACCGCGGCTATTATGAGAAACTTAAAACTTTGTCAATCCGATTTTTTAACTGCCTATGGATAGTAGAAGTGGAAAAAGCCTCATCATGTCGATTGTTCCACAGTCTCGATACCCTAGCGGTACCCCAAACATGTGAGCAGTACTCGAGGCTAGGGCTTATCTGGGCCTGGTACAGAGTGATGAACTCATGCGGAGAAAAGCCCTAAACAAATAGTCTAGCTTTTTCCCAGCAACACTTGAAATACATGTTATGGAAATGTCATCGATCAGCCGGAATGTCCTTCTCTGAACAGTATTAGTGTGATCATAGCAGCAGAGGCTAGAGCTCCATGCGTAGTATCTGGGCACTCTATAGAACTAGGAACGGGAATTATAGGGTGTTCCAAAAGTTAATTCGGAATATTATTTTTAAATAGAATCAAATCACTTTAGAAAAATGTATTCTCCAACCCCCTCAGCTGTTTGTATAGATGACTATCTTTTGACTCAAATTTTTAATAACTTTTTGGCACAATTACGGCTCAATCTCACCAGTAATTTGAATAATGTTTTGCTTCGGGCCATTAATCGTCTGTGGATTGTTTGAATACACTATTCTTGTGGAATCCCGGCAAAAAATGTCAAACGATGTGAAATTGCAAGTTCTCGCATGGTGAAAGTGTAAGTAAAAATTCAAAAATTTCTCTCGCTGTATGACACGTGACCCCATCTTGTTGAAAAAATATATTATAATAGTGGTAATAATAGTAACTGTTATTCAAATTGCTTTGCGTTGCATGTTATTCACGAAATGTTCACACTTATAGTGTTCTTGTTTGCATCGTAATTTTCATAAAAGAATGAGACAATTCTCGGTTCTCCTTCGTAAATCGAACCAGTAATTGAATCCAATGTCTCTAGATTGAATACTTAAGGCAAGTCTCGGAAATTTCAACCTACAAGTATACCCATTACTTACTAGCCTAAAACAAATTCTTACCAAATTGTGTTGGGGTCTAAAATCGGACTCTTGCCATACTTAAAACTTGCATGTGTGGTTGGGCACCGCTTCGATTGCAAGATATAAAAAAGATAAAAACCAATACTTCAGACGTCTGCTACCTCTAATTACGTGGAAATAATATCGAAACAAATCTATCCGTTTTTTCATGCGATGGAAGGGGAAGTAAAACCAATAATTCCTTAGTCTTCACGAAACACGCCGACGACGACTGTTGGCCGTATATCTAAACTAGTTGTCTGTAGCATCTGGAGTTTGCAACTTCACGTCACAACACGCGACGTGCGCCCGTAAATACGTCAGAAGTATCGGTATTTATTAATTCAATAACTCTTTTCCTGTTGAAAGTTTAACGTTGGGACTTAACGTTAGCGTTTGATCGACGTCGTCTGGACAGCGAGCTCGACAGGGAAAGTTCAACGTTATTTTAAGGGCGTTTTACTTTGTTGATATGACATATCTCATCTAGTCGTAAGATTCGTTTAAACCTCTTATAAAATTATTCAGACGTGATTATTAATTAAGCGGCTCATAAATGATCGTCGAAACAACTTACACGTTTCATAAACATTTATCGAACAATGAGAATCACTTTTCTTATATACCAATAACCTTTATAAGCAAACAAGTATACAGCGTGTCCGCAAAGTTGGGGTTTTCCTTTACACGACGTGTAGATCTTGAAAATATAAGCAATTTTTCTTAGTACCATATACACCAATGTCTTGAGGGAACCGAGATAAAGGGCTCTGCAACATCAAAAATATCTTAATACCGTCCTGTAGCCGCGACTCGCGACATCTCCAATTGGTACTAGGACACTAGCTCAACCCGACGACAGAACTGGGTCGGGGTCAGTGTGTCAGGTCAGTATGCAACCTTCAACCGACGGTTACGGTCACGCGTGTAGAGGTAAACGAACCCGTATAATCGATTGCGTTTCAAAAAACAACAAGCACTAGAAACGTGGCTAGAGAAGTGCAAGTATCAAAAACTAAAGTGTGGCAAACGCTGCGTGAAGAGGGGCTGTATCCGTTTCACGTCCAACGTGTACAAGCCCTTCAACCTGACGATTTTCCAGCAAGAGTGCCGTTTTGTGAGTGGTTGTTGCATCAACATGACAATAATCCGGACTTTTTGAAGTGCATATTGGTGACAGACGAATCTACGTTCACGGGGTGAATAACTTTCGCAACACTCATGTTTGGTCAGTAGAAAATCCGCACGCTGTCCGTCGGGCACATTTTCAACAAACATTTTCGGTGAATGTTTGGGCTGAACGGTATGCTCATTGGACCATTTATTCTCCCAAATCGATTGGACGGGATGCAATACCTAGACTTTTTACGCAACATTTTGCCTTCCTTGTTTGCCTGCGTCTGCGCGGTAGCGCATCAGCTGATTTCATTTTCTGTTGGAGCGGTATGATTAGCCCTTCTCGTCAACTGGAGAGTGAGTACTTTTTCCTTTATTTTTTTTTACTTGGTCGCCCTCGTTTCACTACACATTACCTTTGTTATTTCAAGGGTAGTTGTTTCTGAAAAGGAAAACCCCAACTTTGCTGACAGCCTGTGTAAACGTTGCATTCATCTCTCACGATACAAACACGTCACCATTTTATATGTGCTGTCTTTTTCAGAATTCTTGATATATCCTTCATGTATAGTTCGACCCCGACTTTTGGCATGCATATCAGAATCTAGTATCAAATAATTAGATAAGATAGTAAGTAGAAATACTGTTTCGAACTTCCATTGTACTACAGGATTTGCAGTTCCCGAGGTGGAATTTCGGAATGTATTTGTAAAACAACTCCATTGACCAATAGTCAATAATAATTACTTGAAATATTTTCCAATTCATTTTGAAACGCTCCTCTATGTTGCATTTTCATGAAACAAAATGTTGCTTTCTTGCCTCTGATTTATTGCCTGTATTATAGCTTATATAATTTGATATAACGTAGATCGACTTTTTTCCAGGATGATATGTGATTGAATTTTCAGGATGATCATTACTGTTTAATTTTCCTTATGAAGTACTGTTTACACTGTGACTTGAATGAAATAAGTTATAATTTTTTGTGAAACAAAAAGTAAACAACGTAGTTTTATAGACTTTCCACAATTACGTACTTTTTCATGTTTTTTAATAATGGATTCAAACTTAACATAAGATCCAGATTCAACATAAGGGTCATATTCATTAACAAAAAATATTGCTTTTGAGAATGCCAGAAACATTGTCGATAAAGGACTTTTATGATATGATGAACTACTACAATTTTTATATTTAAAGCTATCTCAATTATAGATAAAACGACGTAGCAGTGAAAGCTGATAAGTAAGATCTATCTGATAATTCAATAAGAATCTTTGTCTTATTCTATCTAGAAGTGCTTTTCCTAGAATGGTATTGATCCCGTTATTCCGTTTCGCAACTGAAAAAATACGAATTGAATAATGAAAGATAAAATAGAAATGCAATACGCTTTGCCTATATCCATGCATTTCGATGCTTTAGGCATCTTATCTTAGCCTACAAGAGATTTATACTGACTGCACAGTAGAAGAAACAACCGGTACGCTTGCTTCATCAATACCTTGTAAATATTGTACGAGCTTCAAACCCACCATTTTGTCCTGGCTTCATGGCGACAGTCACATTGAAAGGTATGCCACGCTTCACAGCTTGTGCTTAACACTTATTTTTAGATTTTAGAAAAATTATTTGTTAAGTTGGCCATAGGTGGATAAGGATGAACCAGAATGCCCCCTACGTCTTCTGGTATTCTTAATTTCACAAAAACCTAGCATTCTAACAACAACTTGCTGTGTTTAGTTCAGCAAGCAGAAGAAAGATGACTTAGTTTTACTTTAATTAACTGCCACATGACAGCTTTTTATTCGTAATACCTGTCTTTCAAGGTTTGTTGTAGTCTGGCATGCTTTGCAGATAGCTCCAAAAATATTTGTTTGGTTTTGTTGCATATTCTTTGATCTCTTGATATGATCTTATACAGGGTACCTAATCATAACTTAGTAACTTGTGGCATTATTCTTTTTATATTCTGTATGCACCCGAGGTGTTGCCATTTTATTGTGAGACTATCGCAATTGGCATTACAAAATAAAATCTTTCGCAAGATGACGATTTGTTCCCTGTTACGCGACATCAAGCTAAAGCATTATGAGACCAACAGAAATAGACAAAGGATGGGAGAAAAATTTGACAGCAGAAAGACTCATCTCAATCTCAGTCTCAAGTATAGCAGTTTCTAAACATTTTCTGGCAGTTTGGCAACACTGCATTGCCGATTCCTCTGCAGATACCGCAAAAGAAAGATGACTTAGTTTTACTTCAGACATCCCACTACGATAGTGCTTGCAGCATTACTTCGTGGTGGGTAGCATTGCATTTTCATATAAAAGGTAATACTTATCTATCTACCAACAGCGAAAGCTCAAAAAAACTGGTTACGAATCTGTAAAGCCTTCATCTAAAATGTCTGTGTAATAGGTCACAGTTACATTTGGATTCGCGTACCGGTTGTTCTACTCCACTATACTATATGAACTGTCTCTTTTTCACACACCACTCACACGCCCTGCGCGTAAACCCCCTCCACCGCTACAATCAGCCACTAACTCATGCCAATATGTTATAATTTCATCTATCCCGCACTTGGGTGTTGCTTTGCCGCCTCGCCTCGCCTCGATTCGCCTCGCCTTAGGCCGCAGCTGCCGCAGGAATGGTAGCACCGCCTCCACCGCCGCCCTCAGTGGCTGCCCTAGCCGCCCATCAGCAACAACAGGCCGCCCAAGCGGGCCATTCGCAGCAGCAACAGCAACAGATGCAGCTAGCCTTCGAGCTGCAAGGGAAGAAGAGGCCCAGAGAAGCGTCCGCAGCTGCAGGAGACGCGAACGCAGCTGATCTGCTACTGGTACTGCGGCGCAGACAGAGGGCGCTTTGTAGTTGGTTTGCATGGTCTTGCATGCTTTTGGTTTATGCTAGGCTTGGATGCAACATGACGTCACTCGGAATCCAAAACAAAACTGATTCTATACTCAAGTGTCAGATTGGAAAAAACTGCTATGAAGCGAAATTCAAAAAATGCAAACAAATTTTAACAGGAATTGTCGACCATTTTATCATATCTAATGGGTAACTGGGGACTAGAAATAATGGTGATCTTATTCAAGAATTTTTGAAGGTAAAAAGAAGTGAAGTTGACCTAGTTGCCAGGCTTTGCCTCCCCACTACTTCACTACTACTGGTTCTAATGCGGAAGATCTTTGTTGATTTTCTCCTATCATACTAAAATTTAATCCAAATTAACTGCGTGCTACAGTAGTATGCACTGCGTATGAGACACATATCATACCTGTTTATAGTACTTGTGCTGCAAATAGTTAAAAGTAACATTTTTTCCTCCTTAAACTGATTCTTCCTCCAATCATTTCAACCTTAATAAAATATCGTTGATGATGCGTCATAGTATGCAAAGGATTTTAACCTCAGAGTAGCAGTTCAGAACTCTTTGCAACTTTTGTAAGTCTACTAACTTGAAATCTGCTTTGGTATTTACGAACACTTGATTTAATTAATAGATTTGAAGTTCGTGGAACTAGAAACCTGCAAAGATACTGAAGATTGTTGATGATAGGATATGAAATATCTGATATTCTCACTGTTCCTTTGGGTGTTCAGTGAAGGTCAGCAAATAAACATCCTACATTCCTTGCATTTTGTGCAACGTTAAAGTTTTTGTCCAACCGCAAATTCCGATTCAGCACTTAAAAAGCATGTGAAATAAAACGAAAGATTACCTCATAGCTGACCAGATAAATGCACAATTCAAGTGGTTCTAGAAGAAGTAAAGATCACACCAGCAAATTATTCATAATCAAACGTGTTAGCTCTTAAAAACTGCAGTTGGGAAAATGGCCATTTCAATCTGAGTGATTCTGTTGCGTTCTAGCTGAGCAATGTTGAGGTTAAAAATTACACAGCTGCGTTACAACTTGTTCTTTCTATGTCACAACAAAACTTTAATAACCTGCTAGCTAGGCACTTTGTGTTATCTTGTTTCGAAAATTCTAATACTCCAAAAGTATTGCTGACATTCCGACGACTTCAGTGGCTTTCCTTGCCAATAAAAATGAAGAAAACGTTAAGGACTCAACGTTCGTAACTCCCCATAAAATTTAATTACGAGTAGCGTAGGGTGAAAATGTGTTTATACCCAGTTCCTATTTTGGCAAATCTCATTGTCAGTTGCTGGAAAATTGGCTAATTTCGTCGACCCCGGTACACGTGCCTTCATTTTATCTTTTGCCAGCCTTTTAACAGAAAAAATGCCGTCAAGTCGGATGACTGCATTCCCTACGCCACTCCGTCATCAGATCATGAAGGATTAAGTTCAGAACAACCCACTGAGAGAAAAATTAATTACAAACATATAACAGCATAAAAATTTTAAACAGATCAAGTAAACCAAACAGGTCCATACAATTAGTCCACAGACATTTTTTTTGTTGCCCTACCAGTAGTTATCGTCCATCTGGTAACGTTGCCTTTTCCGATATTGTCAGACGAGACAGTACCCGCCGAATCACCCCCGCAGTACCAGAAGATTAATCAGGCAGATCGTTACGCCGGGCGCTGAACCCACATAGCAGAAGGAGATGCATTTCGAAAAGATTCCACTGTTCTAAATTTTAACGACAAATATATGGGTAAACCTATAATGTGTGAAATATGGCTAATACATAAAAAAATTGAGATATACCCTCACAGACTGACACACCGGCAAAAATGCGCGACACGGGCGTTCATGATGTTCATGTCGCGATTACAATATTTTCTCGCCCAGTGACGTAGGAAGTAAAAGGAAAACTTGATAACACAACACAGCTGGGTAAGATTATATATGGAGATATGAAAAACATGTTTGATGAAACCTTTAGATAACAAACTCACATATATGAGGTCAAAGTTTCTTGAATCAGAAAGATTTATTTTATTTTTATTTATAATAATCCATACACTGCCTGAACAGAGTGATCCAATTAACAGGCAGGGAAAAAACAAAAAATGATACAAAAACCAAACTCTACACAGTACATGATAAAAAAGACATAAATATAAATTATCCAGATGAAATATTCGGAAAAGCTGTGGAAAATGGGTGAATCGAATACGCTTCAGAAGTTGATCGTAATAAGGTGTCACAGTAAGTTTTTTCATATCTCCATCGTTAGACTCAACTAACCTCATACACATTTTAATAAAAGGTAGTGGTTTCGCATCTTTCCAGGATTTGCAGTTATGTGAAGACGAGACGAGAAGAAAGTCATTGACGAAAAATGCCTAAAGCTTTAAAGCTTCTCCTTTTCATTACGTTGTGCTTAACCCTTCACATTTATAGTAAACTATCACTAAATTTTGTAGAAGTGCGCTATGAATGAGACCTTGTTCATTTGCTTGTAAACTTACCATAAAAGTGTTTCTTGACATAAATCAAAACAGATGTATCAAATGTTCAAGGTTCTCATACAAAAAACCTTTTCACTTTGTAAATAAAAATAAATTGCTTTGATCTCAAGCTTACGAGAAAAATGTGCAGCTTTTGTTGTCCTTGTAATTAGAACCGCTTTCGTCGCTAGTGTTACTGCACAAGAATTGGGACATCCAGCCTCAATCACAAATCTTTCCTATTCTTTCTCATCAACCCTCTTCTTTCTCATTTACCCTCTTTTCCATAAAATAGTTCGACCAAATGTTTCCTCCACCTCAAGCAAGGATAAAGCAAAGACACCTAAACACTGTTTTCTGCATCGTTGATAATTTTTTAATAGTACTTAATTGTCAACTACTCGTAGATCTGTACTATTTCCACCATTCTGCATCAACTCAAACGTAAATGCTGTAGCTTCAGGGTTAAGTGGTTTCTTATGTCGCATATACACTGATATGGATTCACTGATATACTTTATGGTGACTCAAATCATAAATGTTTCTGTCATGTTGAACCATGCAGTGGTCTGAATCATTCACCTATAGCCTGTATATATCAACTTAAGATTCGTAAATATTCATTTTAGCTATCATTATCAATTAATTCCTTGTGCCTGTTTAATATACACCGATACTGACTCACTGATATAGTTATGTTGACTCAGATTCATGTTGCCCTGCAAACGTTAGTTGGAATTATTCAGACGTAACTCTGTATGTATCCATTACCTTTTAGATTATTTACACATTTGCAACTAACTGCTGCTCAAACACAATTCAACACTAACAACCAAGTAAAGTTAACAAAACTATATATATACAATTTAAATCATTTTGAGGGAGCCACGAATAATCAGAAATGAGATTGTTAGTTCAGCCTAAGAAAAATGAACAACTCTTTGTAAATCCTATTTTCGTATTTATATTTCATTATTGCTTTGGAGAAAGGATAGTTCCGTTTCTAAAATCTCTCAACAATTTTCAAAAACCATTATTTTTGCTTGTGCTTACTTCACTCTATTGTGAAATTTGCTTTCGACTAAATACAATGTTTTCATCACAGCGCTTCGCAGAATATGCATGTTCATTATGCTTTTTCGATTTTAAAATGCTTCGAGCAGCAGTGCCTCTTCACAGCTTACATGAATTTTTTTCTATAATGTAAGTATTTTGAGACTAAGCTTATTTAATTCGCTTCGCATTTCAGGCAGAATATTAATTTTATACATACTTTAATATTTCCTTTATATCGATGACTCGTCATTTAAGATTCTCTGAGATACTTGTCATGTGTGAAAAGATGACAAATTTGACTGTTGTGCCTCCTACATATTGATCGCTGATCTATATCATATTTTACAATGGGATACATGGCTTGATGTAACTGATGCTCTTAACTTACTCAAGATATAGGTTGTTGAAGTTGGAGCTATGCCCAATACCACCTGACAGGTCGGTGACTCTTAGTGGTGTTAAATGTGGAGATAAAGACATCTCATCGATCTCCACTGGTTTATCAAAAAACTAACCTCGTTATAAGTATACTCGTAGCCTCTAAAACCCCAAATATTTTCCGACCAGCCACCATTCACCCGAGATCCACATCCCTCCCGATTTTCTTGGTAACTTCGACGATGCGGTTTTTATTAAAAATGTTGCCCAACGGTGGCCTGGCAAAGGACGAGAAACGAGCTTGGTGGAAGTTTTTTAATAATGCTGCGTTATAGATTCAGTTCAGTAGTTTTTCGAAAGTCCTGCAAAATACTTAATAATGCATTGATTGTTTATCGATAGAACAGATTCCAACTATAAGAGAATTGATTCCGCGATTAGAAAATTTGAAGTTGTGTTCATTGTTAATCTAGTTTTTAAGCATATGGTATTTTAAATGGTCCAACTAGAACTCACAGCGATATAATTGTTCAAAACAATTCAAAAAGTTATTACAGCATGAGTTCTAAGAAAAAATAATAAAAATCTTATCAAGAAGTTCGATTGATTATTCAAGTATTTACCTCAAACATACAGGCGTAACTCTAAGCATTGCATTTTTCATTAATAAAACATTATTTCGCAAATGTGTGCTTTTTGCATCAGATATACCTAATTAAACAAATGTGGAGATGCTGAACAGCTACCTTGAGCTTGTATGTTGTTAGCATGTTGTGATAGCTTGAGTAGATTCCTATTTATCTATGAACTTTCACTTGTTTTTATTTATGTCATTTCCTTTAAGTCGCAGAACACGAGATGCGGTTGAGCAAGTGTAAACGTTTGCTTTATCCGATATTAAACAATAAAAAAAATTCTTAACGCTTCTTTTCTTCAACAGAACGACAGCCGTGTGTTGTGTTCTGTTCACGCTCTTCTGCATACATTTTTGTACAAATTCTTATTACAATATGTTATGTAGTATTTTTGGAGAAATATAGATCGATATATGCAACACTTTGCACAGTGGTATTTCTTTCACTCGGTGAAAAAAGATAACATTTGTATATAGATATTTAAGCCCTCCTAAAGTACATAGTTTGTCGTAAACAACATATTCCAGCATTCTTCATTACCTGCTTTTTTGCTGCATGAGTATTCTCAAAAAAATTACGTATCGGTTCTTATGATGTATAATTGGCAAATATCATTTCATATCCTATTTTGTACATGTAGGTTTTTTATTTACAGTGAACTTTTACCGTAGTTATTTAAACAATATTTGTACTCATTTCACAACATTCTAGCAACTGCCGCATATCATGATTTATATGAATAAATTTTGTTCCAATAATGATCGGTTGTCTCATGAGAGAATGAGAATTTACCTCACCAAATTACTTTACGTCTGATTTTGGTTTATTTTTTATTTCAGATGGATATGAAATCAGTGGGCTCTTTTTATTATGAAAATTTTGTAAGTACACATATATCTATCATTATGAATGTTTGGATAGCCATTTCATTAAATAATTAAGCAATCATCTAGCCAAGTGAAAGAAAATATCATACACAAATGGCTTTTGTTTTTATTTTAGTGGGATGTGCATCATTCTACTTATATTACGGTTTCTTCTGAAACTTTTCAGTGTACCGCTTTTTATAAGTCTAAATCATTCAAAGATATATTAATGGTACATATTGACTGAATATAAAACGAATATTCTGTCATGTACTTCAATCAAATGCATCATTTTTATCAAAATTGATTTGATAATTTGGGCGCCGAATATAATCTTTGTTTAAGGAATACCGATCGTTTAATTGAAGCTGCACGTAAGGTTATTCTTGCAAAAAAATATGAATCACTGCTAGGAGAATTAGCAAATAACTAACCGTTCAACGCAGATATTAATATCCTCACTATATTGGGTCAAAACTAAAATTCCACAGCCTGTCTTGGTGGGTCCTCAATTTTTTCCCTGGTGAGAACCTACGGTGGCATGAAGCATGGTAAAATTTCAGGTTTGGCAAAAATATTGATTTTAAAGTTTTGGCAGCTTTTCCATTTTCTCGCTGCACGTACAACCCTCAAGATTTGATCGCAATTTCACAAGGCCTCTGTAGGTACTCTCCAAGGAAAAAACAATTAGATGTATGACCGACAGATCGTGGAATTTTAGTTTTGATCATATAGCCATTCAAGGAAGCTGTTATCAGTTTAAACCGAATGATACATATAGTGTAACAAATGTTATTTGTTTGTTGGTGTAGGCCTTCCCGGCTGGCATGGTACCTTACAAGCGACCAGCGGCCGATAAATCCGGCGTACCCGTCTACCAACCGAACGCCACCACCTACCAGCAGCTGATGCAGCTCCAGCAGCCGTTCGTGCCCGTCTCATGTGAGTACCCTTCATCCCCTGGCACTCCTAACGCCGCCGCCTCTGTAACCACAATGGCGACCGCCGGTACTGCCGCGCCACCGCCCCCGCAGCACCCTCCTCCAAGCGCATCCGCTTCCCCTCCCGTCCAACCTCCAACCGCGCCCGGTACTCCCAAGGAGGACGCACAGCAACAGCAGCTGCAGCAACAACAGCAGCTGCAACAGCAACAATTGCAGCAACAACAGTTGCAACAGTACCAGCAACAGTTGCAACAGCAGGTGCCTCCTCCTCCTCCCAGCCACTCTGCTCCACCGCCTAATATGCATCATGACCCCGCGGCACTCGCTAAGGAAGTAGCGCAGCAGAATTACGCTAAGGCCATCAAGCTAGCTGCGATGAATCAACAGTTGAATCCTTTGAACTACACCGGCGTTTCGTTGAACAAGCAAATGGTTGCTGCAACGCCTCAACCTGCTGCGTACTCTCGGTACCCCGCAACTTTACCATTTCAGTTCCAAGCTAGCGGTTTGAGCCCCTTGGGTCTCGCTAACCCCTACCAAGCCGCATTGGCGCAGCAAAATCTCCTCAATCTCCGTACAGCGCAAGCGGCACAGCCTAACTACCAGATTAACCCCTACTCGTTGATCCGACCACAATACATGACGGCAGCTGCTGCGCCTGCTCAGTATCAGTTACTTCAACAGCAAGCGCAATACCCGGTGACTGTCAGCGCTGCGCCAATCACGACAGCGACGTCCAGCGCGAGTATAGCTGTCGCTGCTGCACAAAACAATAATAATAACGTCGTATTACAGCCTTATAAGAAACTGAAAACCACGTAGATTCCACAGAAGCACGTTTATGAGCCGTTCGGTGATAGTTGACTGTTGATGCTTGCTTTTTTGGGGAGTTGTTGACATACAGAAATGCTCTAATGGTTCCGAGATGCCTTGGGCAGTAGTTACCACAGTTGTAGATTATCCAAAAACATCATCATTTGGACACAGTTGAAACTGTGACAGAAGCACATTGCATCAAATAGCCTGTTGTTAGCAATTTTCATAAGCAGTGGCATTTCAACAACTCAACGTCAGTAGCGGAGTCATTTATCCTAAAAATATTTTTATAAAGTTAGTGTTTTGTTGGTTACTTGTATTTTTATATGTGTTTAAGTATTTGTAATATTTTTATTACGGGATTTTCTAATATGTTGATGAAACGTATAGCGTTTTTAGTGTTTCCTATTCTTTTATAATTGGACGTTTATTAGTTTTTAAAACACACTTTTTATCGTTGTCGATGTTTTTCAGTGTTTGCATATATTCTAAGATATGTCTAGTCAAAGGAATTTATGGGAATAAAGATACATAAGATAACATGACGCGTCTTCAATGAAAAGATAATCAATCTCATAACCGCAGGCTGGCTCTGACATAATGTCAAGAATTGATTCAGATTCAAGTGGAAGTTTGATAGCTATTTTTCATAATTTTTCGCTAATTATCTTAATGACAAGAGTATTATTTCCAATCTGGAAGCAAGCCACATTACGTCTACATAATTTTTCTCGAAAGGGAAGTATCTTCGCATCTTTTCGGAAAAATATTTTGAATAACAAATATGCATGTTGCCAGGCCCAAAATTCCGTGAAATGTACTTTAAGCAATGTTTTTGAATGAATAGAAAAAAATAGTTCATTTATTTTGATCAGGTTTCTATAAATTCTTCTGTACAATTGATAGTTTTCGAGATTAAGCGATTTGGGGTTTGTGGAAGAGTGAAATATGCCATTTTCGACCCAGAAACACAATATGAAAAAACGAAAGTGTTAATTTTGCCAAAGTCACTGAATATTCTCAAACATGCATTAGCAAAATCTCAAAGCATTCTGGTATGTATTCTTATTGTAAACCTTTGTTTTTTATTGTGAATCAACCGAATCGATGTGTACCTTGAGCGCGCGCTTGATTAACAATTAAAAAACAAAGATTTCCAATAACAATAGCCCCTGAAATGCTTTGGGACTTTATTAATGGATGTTTGAGGTATATTCGGAAACGTTGGCAACATAAATTTGTTTGTTGTCAAAAAACTTAGTCCGGAGCAAAAAAACATTTTTCGAAATTTGTTTGAAAAACTTGCTTAAACAATATTTGACGCAGTGTTTGAGCCTAGCAACATTCAGATTAGTTAAAAGGGGTCCTTTTTTAATAATATTATACAAGCGACCGAACCAAGGTATTGTTTTCGGGTGAATGCTAATATACTTCGTGGACAAAACAAAAAATGACCATATGATGGTACAAGCAATTTAAGTATGTGTTAAAATTCACTTTTAATGACCACATTGTATTTGTTTGAGCACAGCATTACTATATTTACACCACAATCTGCAATATCTTTGAACTTGAGTCGTTGCTAACAAGTTGATGGCCTTAGCGTATGACGATTCGACAGACGTGATCATGTTTGAAGAATATTTGACGAATGATAACAAATAAATGATAAATAAAACACTGGGCAATGCTCTAAGCGTTCCAGGACCAAAAGCGAGTGCCTCTGAACTGTGATACCTTCACACCTACTGCTTGCACCGCTGATTATAAACCCAACCCCTTATCCTTGCCCGATATACCCCGCTTTTATTCCTGAAAGGCAGGAAAAGCCTGCTCTTTTGTAGCGCATCCGACTAATCTTATGGAACCTAAGGTTAGGGCTGAACTTACCGATGCAGCATACAGGGTGAGTCTGATGTCTCTATACAAAAATATGCTACAGGTTATCATACGTTTCCATTTGCTTTGATTTTGTTTCTAGAAGTACAGCAGATTTCGAGCAGGCCTCGGAAAAATAAAATAAATACGTATCAATTATAATTAAAAAGGTATTTCATCCATAATCAAAAGACGTAATACATTAGTATTTTTGTCTACAGATATCTGCTCATCCTTTACTATTTTTCATATATTTTGGACTCGAGTGCAATTTAAAAAAAAAGTCGGAATTAACGTAAGTTCAGTCGACTATAATTTATAAGGACAATGTATCTTTGCCATTTCAAAAAATGTGAAGAACTTGTTGTATTTTAGAAGTATTTGCATGGTATATATTTATATATTTACATATTAATCAAAGAGAGCCTAAGTCGCATGGTAGATGAATTATGCGCTGTGTATTTTTTTGTTAGTTTCATTCACAGACGGTGCCATCTCAATGCTCGGTAGCTTGTTAACCGACCCAAAAAGATATGAAGAGACGTATCATGCACAAAACATAATTCTTACTTTTTGTAATAAATATCTCCAACTGCCGTGTATAACAAATTAAAAATATTTCGTTTATTCAAAAATGTAGTTTAGTTCAAATGTAATAGATGTAGAATGGTCAAATAATCTTGGATATTTGTGTTCTTTGAATAGTCAGCAAAAAAATACGCATTGTGATGATTAAGTGCAATATTGATAAATCAAATTAACTTGTTTTAAAAACGTTGTATGTTCAAGGCTACTTTTTATTGTTGACAGCAGCTTCCTAAATGGTTTTTGTTGCGATGGAACTTTGGTTTGCCTTCGGCATCATATGCATCTCAAACGTCATCCTTTTTTGCAATGAAGTTATACGAAACACCGTGATTGAAATATGTTAGTGTTATCAAAATTTAAGGTAATCTAACATGAGATGGAGTGCCATGAAATATAAGATTTTCCAAGGTGTTGAAAAAACTAGTTTAGAGAGAAGCATGGGGCTTATCATAATTGTTTTGTGTTATTGCATGTAAGCAGTACTTATTTCTTTTTGGGTTGGAACTTGAGAGTATTTCTCCGATGACGAGGTTTTCTTTAAATAGTCCGTTCCTCGCAGTAAGGAGGTTGGTGATGCGAAATGAATTTTTCAGTAATCTGACCATATACTCCAAAAATAATAATACTAAAATTAATCTCTCGATTGGTCTCTTACCAACTAATGATTCAACTATTATATTTGTCTCAAGCTAAAGAATCAAAATATTGTCATCCACCGTAATGACTTGGACATCAAAAATGCCTTCAGACCCAAGACCTTGTAGTTTAAACTTGTAGAGTAGTGTGTTGAAGATTCTATTTAACAAATCATATTGTGACTTCGTTTCTGGGTATTGCCAAAAATTCTATTTGCGACACTAACCTCCAGTAGTTAAGTTAGATTCAAGATGGCATTTGCCTTCAAAAGGCAGTTGTTACCTTTGTCTTCCTGCGTTCTGATCTCTCGAAGCACAAAATGTAGTGTTGCGTGTTTCATAATATCGATTTCATCATTTTTATTGAAAGTAGTAATTTTCTATATATCTTGTATGTAGAGCAAATATTTTCTGCAGAATAGTATCACCTTTTCATAGTAAACTTCCACTACGCTACGTAATCCTATAGAAATGTAGACGCTAAAAAAGTAGATGACGGAATGGAGGGAAGTGATGACTTGCAACGTGCAAAGTCAATAAAGGGTTTCCACTAAGGACTTGACAACTTTCTTTTTAAATAAAACGCGAACCATTTGAGATATCTCGAAAATTTTATTACTGGATTGAAGTACACATTTTGTCAGAAACGGCCGCTATCTCTCGTTCAATACTGGCACTGCGCTCCTCTAACGACGCCGGTTTGTTGGCGTAGACCAATGATTTAATGTAGCCCCACAAAAGTCTAGAGGTGTTAAATCACACGATCTAGACGGCCATTTCTCGATATGACACGTTCACAAAATTTTGATTTCAATATGTCGATTGTTTCACCCGCTGTGGCTTGTGGCACCGTCTTGTTGCAACCACATATCATTAATGTCCAGCCCATCCAATTGACCAAAAAATAATAATGTTACAAAATGTATGTGTAGCGATCTCCATTGACTAACGTGACGGTCCTTTTCATCGACGAAAAAAAAAACGTCCCAGGGATAAAAACCACACCATACAGTAATTTTTTGTGGATGAAGTGGTGGTTCTTGATGCACGTGAGGATTTTCACCTGACCAATAACGCATATTCTGTTTGTTGAAGAAGCCGTTTAGCCAAAAATACTCCTCCTCACTGAAGATGATTTTGCGATGAATTTGGTCATTTTCTTGCAACATTTCTAGAGCTCAATTCGAGAACATATCATCAAACAGCTTTAGTTCTTCAGTTAACTTGATCTTATAATGGTGCAGGCCAAGATCGCCGTGGAATCGACGTGTTCTGTTCGTGTGCGACGGTAGCTTTAACCTCACTGGCACGGGAATATCCAGCAGTGAATATGTGGACTATGAATGGCACGAGAATTACGACAAAAAATTGACGTTAACGCTCTTAAAGTTGCAGTCAGTGACTCGGAATTTCGGTAGTAAATTTTAATTATTTCACCATGATGAAAATGTTTTCTTTACTGAATGTTTTGATACTGACAGTTCGGTAATTGATTTAAAGGTGCGTTCACAGCGAAAGTTCAAAGTTGTCAAGTTTCTATTGGAAAACCCGATACATGATGACCACACAAAATATGGCGGAAGAAAAATATTGAACAGTTCATAGTATTCAACAATCAAATAATCGTTTACTATGGATGTACTTGTAAAGCACCCACTGGATGAAAATGTTAACACTTGTCAATTCGTAAGCCCTAGTTAGCTTAACATACGTGCTTTTGTTTTGTTCTTTATTGTTAAATTTTGAGTATATATTAAATTTGTTACTTTAACACTTGTCAACTCAACTTCAAAAGCAACGTCTAGAATTGCTGCTAGACTAAACAATAGATTTCTATCGTTTTACCAAATAGACATGATTATTTCAATCCTTCACAAAATCAACAAGAGTCTATAATTAGAAACGAAATTTTAACTGAAACTTGTGCAACGAAAACCTTGCTTTAAATATTTGTCCTGTATGCAAGGTAGTCATAGATTACCACGTTACGGTAAACATAGGATATAGATGATATAGATCCTTAGTATTGTGATGTATTATTACATTTGTATAATTGCTAAACAGGCCAGTAGGCTAGCCAATAAGATCATGGAAATGGTTGTGGAAAAGCATAACATCGATTTAGGCTTTAGGGTCGATGTTACTCGTATGCTAAATTTTCGTTCAGTTCTGGCGTTTTAAAAAGTACAGGCGAAATAACACCTAATTAGTTGAAATAAAAAAGACATTTTTCATGTGGAACAACAAATATACTTAGTGACATATAAATCCGAACACCCTGTTTAAATGTTTTTATTTTAATAAAATTTTGTATAAGTACTTAATGAAGCATAATAAGTAAATGATAAAAATTTCAAAATGATTGCACTGCTTTAAAGCCCTTTGACCTTTAATAATGTGTGGATGCACCCTGATGTGCTACGCATTCTCCAACGCGCCTAGGCATGCTTCTGATCAGGTGGTCAATGCCCTCCTGTGGTATCTCATTCCAGGCAACCACCAACTCCTCTCGAAGTGCTTCTAGAGTCTGAGGAGGATGTTGCAAATTGAGCAATCTCCTACCCATCATATCCCACACGTGCTCAATTGGGGATAAGTCGGAAGATCTTGGTGGCCACGGTAACAATGTGACATCATTATGTTGAAAGAAGTCTATTGTGACTCTTGGAGAAACGGTCCCTTAAGGCCAATAATCTTAGGCGGCGATCTTCACGGTCTGTTGTTCTACGGCGGCGTCCAGTGCCCCCTTGCTCTTTGCGTACGGCCTTCTCGAAGCCACGCCTGACAACACCTAACCACAGTGTCTACACTTCTTTGCACTCTAACTGCAATTGCCCGAAAAGAAAGTCCAGCTTCCCGAAGTCCCACTATACGGCCCCTATCAAACTCACTAAGTTGACGAAATCGTACAGGTCTCCGCACTCTAGGCATCGTAACCGATCGTAAAGGATGTCAAGAACCAAAATCCGCCAACGTTGATTCTTTACTGCGGCTGAAATATTCATTTTTAGAGCGTTAGTGAATTAAAAAAAAGCAGTATAAAAACCAATGTCCAACTGATAAGGCTGAAAATTTTTTCACTTGTTATTTACATTAAGATAAATACATTCACCAACTTTTATTAAAATAAAACCATTTAAACTGGGTGTTCGGATTTATATGTCACTTAGTATATTCAAGTTTTCAAATCATAAAAAATGTTCCCTTTAATTACTTAAAATTGGTCCTAGTGTTTGGATTTCTGAAATCATTCCAAATTCAAAACAGCTTGCAGACTGGCCTATAAAAAGAGATGTGTCTTATATTTTAGCATTTAACGGAAAAAAGTTATAAATATTATTGTGTACTTTTAAGAAGAGTACATTTTGTGATGCATGTATATCTACTACGTAAAAGTTAAGTAAATGTTTTATTTCGATTTAAGGGATATCATTAACTTGTACCATATATACACAAACACATAAACTATGCATTTTTAAGTAGTAGAATTACTTTTTGTGTAAAATGCTAGCTAGCTAGCTAGTTTCAGGTAAACAAAAAATCTTCTTGCCTTCCTGATCGAAAATTTGACGTACAAAATGTAGACGGTCTCAATAATCCTAATATGTTTCAGAGCCAATTTAAAGCTTAAATCAGCACTTACTGTTGATCTATACAGATCGTTAGAAGCAAGATATTATAATGGTGTACTTCAAACGTACTGCCAAAACCGTACTGTAGGGAGGGGAGAATTATTGGAATTTATAAAGTGGAATTTTTTATGCGGTTTAGTATGTATTTTCACTTTTACAAAAAACAGTCCTGTCGTGGTACATCATGATTTGCATGTTTTTCGGTCCATCTCCGCTCAATTGTATTCAATTTTCTATCGGGTGATGCAAGAGGAAGTAACAACAGATAAATTCTTTGCTGTAGTAGTTTTGGTTGAAGGCCATACTGCACTAGGTACTATCACCACGTGGTACCTTGCGCTAGCCACGCGCGCTATCAGCTGCCGTGCTGTTTCAACGTTCTCTTTTTCACCATATATTTCAGGACGCTAGAATCGCCACTACTAACACCTACTCACTTTTTCACATTCAAGATCCTAGGTACAGGTCACTTTTTCTGACACATTAACGTGAGGTAATGCTGTGCGGTCATGCTCGAAGATTTTGAAAATTATGCTCTATGACAAAGTTGGTAATCCAAATATGGAAATATCGTTTTTGAAGTCACGATGATGTTGCTTTAATTTAATAGCTTGTTGTAATATAGTTCTATTCTATCAAACATGTGCATGTCTCGTAAGGTATCTTGTTGCAGATCACGTGATACTTTCAGATATACGAGGGGTACCCAAAAAAAGCCGGAATTATTTTTTAAAAGCTATTTATTCTCAACTCTTTCACAAAGTAGCCTTGTCTCCTTCAAAATACTGTCTACTACAACTAATACAGTTGTCACACCGGCGCTTCCACTGCTCGAAATATTTTTAGAAGTCTTCCTTAGAAATGTCTGACAGCTCCGCCCTCGTTTTTTCCTTGACCTCTTCAATATCGTCAAAGCGCCGTCCTTTCATGCCCTTTTCATCCGTGGAAATAAGAAAAAGTCGCAAGGAGCCAGGAGGCGGAACCATGCCATTTTTAGCCAGAAACTGTCGAACAGAGATGGCTGTGTGCGCAGGTGCATTATCGTGGTGGAAGAACCGCACTCCTGACTGCCACAAATCGAGCCTTTTTTGGTGAACACTGACATGTCGCCACTTTTAAATCGGGCAAACCACTCGTACACCTGAGTTTTTCCTACAGCATCATCTTCGTAAGCTATTTTCAACATTAAAACAGTTTCAGCAGCATTTTTACCAATTAGGAAGCAGAATTTCACAGCTGCACGTTGCTCACTGAAGCTTACCATCGTAAAAAACGACTACAGAGGAACGAAACAAGCCAGACCGACAACTCAGTTGGCACTGAACTGGTAATGAGTTGCGCTGTACACCTCTAGGGGCAAACATGTGTACTACACAAGCTCCGCCCACTGCAATGCTATTTTTGGGTACCTCCTCGTACGTTCATTGTGATTTCTGTGGGAATCATCTTGTTTCTGATTCTCCTATGAAATATTGATAAGGCCTTTGGAAAAATGGTCGTTTCGATCCCATTTAACTTACAGTCATTTATTTGAGTACATTACAAAGCTTAGAGACTTGGACGCCTTGAGTGTTTATGTGTTCAATATGGAGCTGGCGTCAAGTATGATACTGTTTCGTGTGGCATGCTCTAGCAAATGCTGACACAATGTTTTTCTATGCACAGTTCTTTGGGGGTATTGCAGTGTCGGTTCTAACGGCCTGCCATACAATAATGTAGTGCCTTTAGGCTGCATAGCGCGCTTTGCTGAGGTGTGGGTAAAATATAGTGTTTTCAAGTCTTGAAAAAAGTTTGAAAGTTACAAGAACAAACCTTTTCCGTATTTATACAGATTTAATGTATTGTATTGTTCTAATCCTGAGGTGTATGTATTTATCACCGCTACTATTTGTAATAATAATGCTTGAAAATGCATGATATTTGTTTTATTAATCATCTCGCTTATTTTGTCCGACATTTTGTACCCTTTTCCTTCCCATTGAAAAGCATGGTGCTCTGGAAAGATGCCGATGTCACTTAGTTTGAACTGAAACGTGACGATTGTCTTTGCTTTACGCAAAGTACAGTTACTAATACACCAAACAATATACTCAAAATATTGCTTGCAAGTCTTCCATAGCATCGTCTTTCAACAAACTTTCAAATGGCTTCTAAATACATACATGGTACGACAAACTATTTTTTTCATGAAAAATTGTATTTGTCTACTATGTACAAGTATTACAAGATCTCCTTCCCCTGCTTGCCTCATATTTATTTTTTGTGTTTTTATATGTCGTTTACAAAACTATTTTGGCATATGCTTTTACTTTTACTGATATCATTATACTTTTCTGATAGGGATAGCATTTTTCCTTAGAATGTACACAACAATATACAGCTAGCTCCCTTCAGGCTTATTATTGGTAAGAGAGAGACTGGAAAAAACATCTGAATGAAAAGCTATATATTAGATGTTGATTTTTGAGACTCTTATTTACTTCGATTTAATAATGTTTATGTGCTATGCAAAGGGTACTATAAAAGTTTTGCAATACAGTTTATTGACTTCCAGTGATTTCCACCACATTTAATACACTTCTCACACTCGTTGTCCCAAGCTCTCAGAAGGTCCTCATCGCTAGAAAACCGTTTTCCTTTTAGCTTCATATTTACATGAGGAAACACTGCATAGTCTCAGGAGCAAGATCTGGACTGTAAGGAGGGTGCTCAATAAGTTTCAGCCCAGGCTCTGGCGCGGTGAGCTGGAGCGTTGTCATGGCGGAGGTACCAAGTGACTCTATGACTTTAGGCCGGCACCGTTCCGTGTACCACTTAGCAGTGACTGTCTTCTGTGTGTCCAAAACGACACGCTCCACAATCCCGCTCGATTTGAAAAATACAGCTATCCAAAGACCCAAACTTCGTTTTGAGTCTTGGTCGGCACATCGTAATAATAGAAAAAGTCTGACGACGAGTCTTCTGTTCTTCCGTCAGTCTATGCGGTACCCAGAGAGAACAAAGTTTCCTTACGTGTAGATGGTCATGCAGAATTGACTGAATTGCTGGTGCCAAAAATGTTTATTGCAAAGTTGATTCTAAATTTTGGAGAGCCGCGGGATTGTAAGCGCGTTCAGATATAATTAAGGTAATAAGGTAATCGACACCCGAGCCATACAAAGACAATGTAGGATTGGCACGTACCTGGGTGTTCTTGTCACCTGGTCTGGAGGAGCTCCTCTCTCTACACAGCTTCTTCTTAGGTTCACCACACTTGCCTTAGCGGATATATTGTACCCGGTTTAACTAGGATTCTTTTGTCGAGGTTTTGAAGACAACCTTTTTCAGCATCTTTCGGTACCAAGTGGCACGACGAGTCTTCTGCTATTCCGTTAGACTATGCGGTACCCAGAGAGAACAAAGCTTCCTTACGTGTAAATGATCATGCAGAATTGAATGAATTGTCTTTGTCAAACATTTCCCTTGCAGCAGTAATGTTTTCCTCTGTTACTGACGTTCGGGGTCTTCATTTCCTCTCAGCGTCCTCCAGAGTGGAATTGCCTCTTTGGAATTCCCTGTACTACCTGAGTATGAGGACAAGCATTCTTTAATGCAAGCGTTATTTCTTCTAAGCACTGGTATATGCTTAATCCACGCGTAAAGTTATACCGTAAAACTGCCATTTTCTCACTATTTATTGACTTGATTTGCAAAAGTATTCAGCGATAATTGCTATCTTTCTCAGAATGTATTCAATCAAAACACAAAAAGTAAATTTTTCGAGGCAAAAAATCTATTTACCTAACTTTTGAGGTATTCACTGAGAAAGCGGGCTTGGTAATTTTTTCAGCAATGGATATGCTTAAGCATGGTATATCGATGTTATATGTTACGATAAGGTAGTTAATGAGAATATCAAATAATGGTGTATTTTCGTTTTCTTAGGGGTACCAATATTTCTATCCTGGTTCCGTGAAAGCTTGCGCTAGTATCACCGCTATAGGATTCTATACCCTTATGAAAACCCATAATAACGTCCTCCAATTACCTTATAGTAGCATACGTAACGCTAGAAGATCTCTAGAAAAGTCGCTCAGTTCTAAATAAACAGCTGTAGATGGCTCTATTTTTGTGGTAGCTGGAGTTTATGTGGATTTTTGTTCAAAAATCTTACTTAAAACTCCTCGCTTCTAGATATACATATCATATTTAAGCTATCCATTCGCCATGTTGCTTGTGTAATGTGCTGCTGTACAACTGAGAAATCTACTGGATGTCTTTGAGCCATGCACCATTCTTACATCCAACTGGCACATTGCACATGGCCCTTATAGTTTGATGGAAATAATGCCTTATATACTGATGCATGTTGAATAGTTCAAGGGAGTTTCCTATTTGTATTGCTTAAACTATCATAAGTGGATGAAGTGTAAAGAAATTTAGACCATTCACTACTATCTTGCCCTTCACAACTACGGCACAAGTCGCACTAACTCCTAATATAATACTTTCAATTATTTCGATTCATTTGAAAGAAGTACATTTTCAAAACATTTTCCTTGAATTGTTTAACGTGGATTGGTCCGTCGGCATTTTTGAAAATATCAACTAACAAAAAAAGTGATGTTGAAACTGTGTTGAAGTCTACCGCAGTAGTGAAACAAGCAATGAGTGATACTGTTAGAAGCTTTGTATATTCCAATTGTTTTCTACAATTTCTCATTCCGCTAAACAAACCTGTTTGTAGCTTGTAGTAAGTAAATATGTAATTTGTAGGTTATTCGAATCTTGATTCGAATGCAACGACTCTATAGTTGGTGTGCGGATTAAGAAAAAATGGGCAAATATTTCATTACCTTGCAAATTTTATAGGTCCGCTTTCTCGATAATTTCAGTTGCACACGGTGCAGACATCATTTCTCCTATAGTCAGCTTTTTTCTTTTTTTTTTGTTAATGCATTTGAATCTCTTTTGCGATTATTTGGTTCTAAAAGAGTATGCATAAATCGAAAGACTAAACAGATGAGTTTATTTATAGAATATCAGCAAAAAAATAACACTTATTTATTTTTTGTCAAATAGATGTGAACATCTAAAATATTGAAATGAAACATTGGCCTGTTTTCATCTTACCCGGTATTTTACTTTTGCCTTTATTTTATTTAAGCGTGCATGCGACATTTCATCTGGTGTTTGTTTATGATTGTATTGAACGTAACCAAGGGATTAAAACATTTCGATTCTAGGGAAATGGAACAACTATTGAGTCGTTGTTAATAATCCCATTGGGGTTGTAGGTCGATCAATGGAACCAGAATTGCAAAAACTCAAATAACCTCAGCGTGGTTATATCATGCTTCATTTCTTTCAATAAGGAAACTCAATCATGATAACAATTTTTTCTACCAGCGTGCGGAAATTACTCACTTTCAACACGTATCTATGTGTAGAAAGTAGCGCTTTTCCGCACTCTACTTTCTGCACACAGATGCGTTATTGAAAGTGCGTACTTTCCACACGCTAGTAGAAAAAATCTTATACCTAACACTTGCGGACAACGTGCAACTACCGTCGCGTGCGGAAAAGTACATATCACTTTCCCCACTTGATAGGCAAATAACTATTGTAAGAATCCCTGTACATGAGCAGCTATGAGTATATCTCGAATTGCTATAAGCTTTGCCTATTTAAGAAAACTCAAGAATAGATCATAATTGATATTTTCAAAATATTTGTCGAGATTCGATCTACAGCTCCATGCGATAATATAAAAAATGATTTCATAATATATATTATTTACAACGCTATATTTAATATGTTATGTTTTGCAGAACCTCCAGCCGCATAGAACTAATTGTAGCATCGCAGATTGTACTACACGTAACAGCTTTTTTCATTTTACAAATCCCTCCTTCCTCCTCGTACAGGTCACTAAAAAGCAAGCAACACTACTAAATTTTATTATTTTTTTTATTATTATACATTATGACGTTTCTTATTTCCAAAATGTCTTGATGTGAATGAATGAAGCACTTCGGGCTAATTCTTTTCAAAGTGAAACTTCCCAAGCTTCAAAAAAATGCTGTTCATTTTTTATTTTCAGTGAATGTATATTTTAGAGGTTGACTCAAAATAGAACATTATCATCTCGTTTCTCAATGACGGTAACAGATTCTGCACTGATAATTCCTTGAAAGCATACACACTATATATATATTCAATACTGCTAATAAGGAATACAAGGGATGTCTGTTAAGTTTTGCATATGGAAATAAAACAACACGGTGGGTAGTTTTAAATGACTTTATTGTTTTTCGAAGTATTCTCCACGAAGATTAATACACATCTGCATGCGCTCGAACCAATTTTGGAAACACTTATTCCATTCGTTTGCTGGCAGATCCAAAACGGCATTTTTGAATGCGTCACCTGCTTCTTCTGGTGACTGGAACCTTTGACCACGCAGTCTGTTTTTAATTTTCGGTACAGTAAAGAAATCGTTAGAACTTAGATCAGGACTATATGAAGGATGGTCCTATAGTTCCACGTTTTCTTCCGTTAAATACTGCCTTGTTTTTTGGATTGTATGCGAGCTTGCATTGTCTTGGTGGAGGATGATTCTTCTTTCGGCGTTGATTTTTCGAAGCTCGGTGATGACTTTTGGCAAAAAAATGGTGGTATACCAATCCGCAGTAATAGTTCTTTGCTCATTAAGAGGAATTGTTGCAATATGACCCGCCTTTGATACGAATATCGCAACCATCTTTTTCGAAACACTTCGAGAACGGATAACTTTTGTTGGCTTTTCTTCACCTTGGAACACCCAAACAGCCGACTGTCGTTTATTTTCTGGTTTATAACAGTAAATCCACGATTCATCACCACTAACAATGCTGTACACATTTTTTAAGTTTCCGGAATTGAAACGGTCAAGCGTTTTTTGACACCAATTAACCCTGGCTGCCTTGTGCTCTTCAGTCAACAGGTGGGGTATCCAACGAGAAACTAATTTTCTTACTCCTAATTCTTCATATAAAATTTTTTGAATTGAGGTTTTTGAGATCCTCAAGGACGCCTCAATCTCGCGATATGTCATATGTCTATCTTCAATGATGAGTTTGCGCACAGCATCGACGTTTTCCTGGGTGACTGCCGTTTTTGGTGCACCCACCTTGGGATCGTCGCTAAGACTCATCCGTCCACGTTTGAATTCTCCACACCAACGGGAAATTGTCGACTGATATGGCGCTTCGTTGCCGAAAACAGACAGTAACTCAGCAAGGCATTCTTGTTGCGATAATTGTCTCTGAAAGTTGTAATAAATTATGGTGCCAAAATGTTCTCGCTTGAGTTCCATTTTTCTAATGACTTGGTGACACTTAAAAATTGACTGTAGTGAGAACACTATGTGACTATATGCAAAACTTAAAAGACATCCCTCGTATGTTGAAATCTACATCTTTAAAATTTAAACACAATACATCCGACCATTGTAAGTATAACTGTTACCTTAACGTAATATTGCGATATCTCTGGAAACTTTTAAGCTATATGTTTCAAAATTTAGTAGTGATACTTGTTTTGCATCAACCTGTATCATTTTAGTGAACCCGCTTAATGACCGCTTTACTCCTAATTTTACTAGCCCCTGCCGTAAGTAACTTTGTTTTATTCTGAATAATAATTTAACACATTACTTAAATTGGATACTAACTCTTATCATTTTTCTATTTCTACTAATTTCTAAGTTAATACACATACAAAAAGGCATTAATTACTCATCTTAATAATGTAATTATTTGTATATACGTATTTACTCATAATAACACGTGCATAATATAATTTATTAGAACAGTTGAATGCATTTTTGTATGTTCATGTATTCATTTGAAAATGTGCTCAGAAAAATTACAAAAAAAGAACACCGTCGAGCAGATATATTTTTCAACATGTGACGTCGCGAGTATTCTGAGCACATTATGTTACGCCTTGCATTTGATTTCTTTTTGAGCGTCGTCAAGAAAAATACGTAGGTGTATCAGAAAATTCCCGGGACAGATCTGAAGCTTACGATCAAAGAGCTACTCGACGCTGTGCCTACTGATAACCTCACTATGTGTGTGAAGTTTTGTTTTACAAGAATTTTGCTTTTGTGGGCGCTCCATTTGCTCCTTCGGCGATTTCATCATGAACTGAAGGTTTAAGCAAAGAGCTGACATTAAAATTTGCATGACATCTACAAAAACACTAAATCTGCTTCGGTAAGTTTATGGTATAATAGATGACCCGTTCAAAAACTTTTTTAAGACGAATTTTCTAAATTTTTTTCGGGTACAATGCTTGTAAAATGTCTTCCAGAGCGCTCGTCATCTTCCAAGGATTTGTATCGCTATTCAAGTCGCTCATGCTATTCAAAAATAAAACTAAATAAAATTCTTATAAAACAAAAGCAATGAGAAAAGTTCACTTACTACTTTGTGAGACTATCAGCTTATTTATGTAACAGGCACAGCCACAAGCTGTCATCTGTTGGTAAGTTACAAATCTGGTCCGGGAACTTTTTAATATGCCCTTGTAGCTTAATTTTCCTGTCAGGATTGCTAATCTCTGAATTATCCAATGGTCAATAGGTCTTAACAATTTCCAATATTAGGAACGTTAAGATTGTTGATGATCTGTTGCTACCATTGTTTAACGGATACACTCTCGATGGAAAAATATCGTCGGTAGTAGTTATTTGCTCTAACAGTTTGTCACATGTGGAAGCTACTTTCCTTAGACGCACAGTGGCTCTTGTTGCATTAGTAAATCCCAGATATCAGAATAAAAGAAAATATATTACCATATACACTGGATGAGTTACCATATCACACCTTTAGAATAGTGCTCTGAAATTTGAATTGTTAGCGAGTAGCTTAAGTGGTATTGGCTGTATTCCACCTTAGATGGTGACATTCTTCTATCAGTCAATTCCGTTTTATTGATTATACCACGATATAGTGAAGCTGCATCGCTATAGGACTTGGTAGAGTCTCTTGAGTCATCCTGTTTTAGCTTAGGAAAGAACATGTGACAGACATGCTATCGACAAATAACTACATACAGTA